GAACTGCAGTCAGCTGAAGTAGCCTGCAGTGCTGCATTTAACCACTGTGCCATGTTTGGCTTAGCAACACAAACTTTGGATTCAATTGTGATTGTAAGTTAAGCACTACCTGTAGATACAGAATACTTCAGCACAGAGATTCCCCCAGTATTGTTAGCTTGCTAGTAATAGATTTTAATGGCTATTAAGAACAAAATATTATACATGGGAAGGAAGTATATGTAAACATTATAAAGCAGCCGAATAAAAGCAAACAGACAAATTAATAATCATAGCAAAATATAGTATGGGAGTTGTTGGTGTACTTTTCAATTTTTAGAAGTAGCTGAATTAAGTTTACTCAAAAACAATGAAATACATTTCAGAGAAGTCAAACGATAGGCATCAATAGCCCATATCATTTTACTTTAATATTTATTGGTAAATATTGAATCTCATTATTAAACATTTCTGTGAGTAAACGTTTTGCCTATTGATGTTGGTCTTATATTTTAATTCTTTTAGCAGCCAAAAGAAATGAAAGCAAGTGGCGCAAACAAAGGAAATGAGGTAGGAAGAAATAATGGACTGAGCTCTGGCTGTAGCATAATCCTATTAACTTTTGTTAGATCAAAGAAAATAATACTATATACCGTGATGGCGACCTATGGCACGCGGGCCACAGGTGGCAGGCAGAGCCATTTCTGAGGGCACACATGGCGTTGCTCTGTCAACTCCAGCGCACCTGTGCGTGCTGGCCAGATGACTTTCAGCCTTGATTTTCGACCATTTTTCGGGAACGGACTTCCGGTTTGCACGTTGGGCTGCTTTTTGCCTTCCGGAAGCAAAAAACTTGCAAACCAGAAGTTCGACTTCCGGTTTGCATGTTGGGCCATTTTTCACCCTCCCTAGGCTCCTAGAAAACTTCTGGAGCCTGGGTAGGGTGAAAAGCGGACCTACTGGGCTCACCGGAAGTCAGAAAATGGGCTGTTTCGGGCCTCCGGTGGGGGCGGGGAAAGCAGTTTTCGCCCTACCCAGGCTGCAAGAAAGCCGTGCGCGCATGCGTGGGGCAGCGGCAGGGAGGTTGTCATGCACACATGCACAGAGGGCACGGCACGGGGGAGCATTAAATTATGGTGGTGGGCACCACAATTTCGCCATTACCGCTATATAGCATTTCAGCCTATTATCTAAGGAACAAAATAATGCTGCAATATTTGAAACATAAATGCTAATATTTTCTAAGGCCTATTATCTAAGAAGGAACAACCTAAAGTGGTTAAATTGATTCCAGAGACATATAATGGCACCATGTTTTACTATTTTTTTACTATTTGTTACAATGTATTATGTACTTGTTCAAAGACAGGTAAATCTGTCTTAATGATGAACACCCTAAATTCAGACAAAAGACTATTTTTGAAGAGAAAAATTGTACAAATGGAATCTAAGAATCTGAATAACCAGTTGTTAAATAACAAAGTCATACTAAAATGTTACTGCTAAAATGTTTATTATCCCCATTTAAGTTTAATGAAATAAAATAGCTCTGTGGCTCCCTCTTCTGGTCTTTTTTGTCACCTGTAATTTACCAAATGAAAATACAGAATAGTATCTGTAATATGCACATTTGAGTTTGAAATTAATATATAACTCTATGCAATGACCACGGTCCCTTTGTCGAGTAAGGTGGACTACGTTTAAATTTAATAAATATACAAATAAATAAATGTACTGTTGTGCTCAGCTTCAGTTCCACTTCTGTGATTTGAGGATATGAACAAGATTTTTGCCATGACCATTATGCTTTAGCAAAATAATTAAATATTTCTAAATGTTATGAGGCAGGCATAGCAATAGCACTTAGATTTATATACCGCTTTACAATGCTTTACAGCACCTTCTAAGCCGTTTACAAAGTCAGCATATTGATCCCAACAATCTGGGTCCTCATTTTACCCACCTCGGAAGGATGGAAATCAACCTTGAGCCTGGCGAGATTTGAACTGCCAAATTGCAGGCTGCCAGTAGTCAGCAGAAGTAGCCTGCAGTATTGCACTCTAACCACTGTGCCATCATGGTTCTATTTTAACAGTTTTAATCCATGTCATTTAAAAACTATTATTCCTCTTTTCAGATTTCCCAAATGGTAACTGAAGAACTACATTCAATCACTTTTGAAACACAGATCTGCTTATGTGGGCTGACTATAGATTTGGAAGTAAGTGTTTTTGAACCAGGCTGACTGAATGGGGAAATATTTGAATTAGAAATAATGCATACTACTCACTAGCATTGTGCTAATGGATTATATTCAGCTGATCAAATAAGACTGTTTTGAAGACATCTGTGCCTCTCCCAAGTAACCAAAAATGTAATCTGACCTATCAGTTAAATATGTAGAAAGAGAGGCTAATCTAATTGCAAATAATTGCTGTGTTTTTTTTAAAAAAAATTATTTGCTGAAGCCTGATTCTTAATTGTTGGTGAATAGAGCAATGATTAATTTTGTTTTATCAAGGGACAACTCTGTCTGCCTGAGCCATGTCAGCTAAGCAAAAATGGATTCCTAAATAGTTAGTTATACTCTTGGCAGGTAAACAATACCATATTTTCTTTTTTCTAATTGGAGGTGAAACATGCAAACCATTATTTGCAGTAAAACTCTTGGAAAGTTTTGCCTATTATCATTGTCAACAAAGGATCAGATTAGATGAGTCATTGAACAGATTCAATGAAGCTCTTTATAATGTGTATAAGGTGCTATAATACTGCCATAATGGTTAATATTTCATTACAATAAAATCCCTGACTTGTCTGTTACAATGTTATTACAAAATAATGAATCGTGTTGTATTTGCCAACTGTGTGGTGCTCGAACGAGTAAGTACCTGTTTTTGGAGCCAAATATAGGAGGGATTATAAAATAGTATGAACAGATCTTATATGGTTTTCATTTCTTGGTTTTTTTTGCATCTGTAACTTCTGATACAAAGTGACCTAGATTCTCTGCTAGGAATAGGAACTTGAAAACCAACTACTCGGTTGAAGAGTTCAGTTAGAATTTTGTGCTCTATGCAGACTTGTTCCTTCAGCTAAATTTGCCCTTTACTTCTTCTTTCTCATCCCACATTGAAAACAAAAACTGAAAATTAAATAGCTAACAAAACTAACTGCATTAGTTGTAAATTCCCAGCACAAAAACCCATTTGCATATGGTACTTTAGCAGTTGTCTAATTTATTTCGAATACAAAATTGCTTACGAGGTAAATTAGGTTACCTTTGCATAACCTCTTAAATATAACCCAGCAAGGTTTTTTTTTTCAAAAACAGATCATTAAACCAGACTAATCTTATTGCATTCTTTGACAAAGTCACAAAATTAGTGGACCAGAGGAATGCTGTCGATATAGTTTACTT